CCCCAAAACCCCAAAACCCCAAAACCCCAAAACCCCAAAACCCCAAAACCCCAAAACCCCAATAAAGATTTTAAAAATAAGATAACATTATTTTTATCATGGATAATATTCCCTTAGGGCTGACCTTAGACGACACTAGGGTCAGAATATCACCAGTAGTACCAAGTGTAATACTTAATTATTTCAATTCTTATAACAACACATCCGGTGATGAGGAGCAAGCTCGGTCCAAAGACGATATCGTATTTGGAGTGTTAATCGGCCTTGAGATAGACTCAAACATCATACTAACAAATGCCTTTGGGATCGACACCAGAGAGGAAGAATCAAAGCTTAACTCAAAATACATTAAATCGATGAAAAAGTTCCTTACCAAAGGCACTAAAGACTCTGTTGTGGGCATGTTCTTTGCACCAATGGAGGGTCAAGCTATTAATGATATCTCAGTCATGAAAGCATTTGCCACTATCTCTAAGGAGTTTAAGAATAAGGGAATCCTGCTAACTCTGGACAAGACTTCCGATGCCAAAAGCTTGGATATCACCACTTATCTACCATTAGATATTGATTTTGGGGAAACAGCAGAAAATTTAGTCATATTCTCAGATACTCCACATGAAATTATTACTGAAAGTATGGCTGAAGCCATCTTCGGAGGTATGCTCCAGGGTACTCAAAGCGATGTTTTGAGTGTTTATTGGAAAGAAGTCACTCAATCTGAAGAAATCACTCTGAAAAAGTTAGAAGAAATCAACGAAAAACTCACCTCTCTTACTTCTAAAGACAAGAATAAAATGGATATTGAGGAAACCATCTTCCTTCTCTCAAGTGCTAAGAAGTATATTGAAGAATCTGAAGCAGGAAAGGTTGAAAGAGAGCCTTCCATCGACAAGGCTCTTAACAGTGCCTTATGCAGGATCAGTAGTATTAATACTGAATCTATCTACAACCCACAGCCCGAGCTTGGCTACATTAGTAAGCTCACAACCCTCTATAAACAGCAACTCGAAATTTCCCACAAAATAAATAAGGACCAAATTTAGAAGAAGAATAAGTGGATTTATCGAATCAATAAAAGTTAAGCAGGAAGGGGTTTTGGGGTTTTGGGGTTTTGGGGTTTTGGGG